GTGAGTAAGTTAGTTGTATTTGGTGTTAACTCCATGCACCCCTATCTGGACCGGGAATAACGAATGGACCCTCCTTCCTAAAAATGCTATCAGTACCCATTGGGGGATTCCTCTAATAATGTGCCCCAGGGTGGAGCATTCCTGCCTGGGTCAGTTTTCCATTGCTGCATAACAAATTACAGCAAGCTTAGTAACTTAAAACAGCACCCGCTTGTTGTCTAACAGTTCTGTAGGTCAGAAGCCACAGCTCGGCATGGCTGGTGTCAGCTTATGGTCACAAGGTTGAATTCAAGGTGTTGGCCCAGGGCTAGAGATTCATCTGAAGGTTGGAGTCCTCTTCCAGGCTCACATGGTTGTTGGCTGAATTCAGTTTCTTGGGGCTGTGGGACTCGAGCCCCTTACTGGGTCTTAGCCAAGGATTGGTCCTTGCTCCTCGAGGCCCCCTTCAGGTCTGTTTCACATGGTCATCTCCACAGGCTGTTCACAAGTGCCCATTTGTTTCTCTGGTGCCGGCAGGAGAGTCTCTCTCCATTCACATCTCTTCTTGAAGGAATTCCTGGTTCCTTTTAAAGGGGTTATCTGATGTGTCTGATCCTGCCAGGGTAATTTTCCATTTGCTTTTCTATTAACTTGATGTCAACTGATTTGGGACCTGAACCATGTGTACAGAATCCATCATGCTTGTCACACGATGCAACCTAATCAGGGAGCGGCATCCGTCATACTCATAGGCCCCACACAAGGGATTATGCGGGGTGTGTACACCAGATAATTCTGTGTATACAAGAATATTGGGGTCATCCATCTCAGAACTCTGCCTACCATGTTGCCATAAGATATTTTTTTTTCTTTTTTCTTTTTTTTTTTACAAATAGTTTATTGTCAAATTAGTTTCTACATAACACTCAGTGCTCATCCCCAAAGTGCCCTCCTCCATGCCCATCCCCCCCTCCCCCCCACATCCATCAGTCCTCAGTTTTTGTCAGCATTCAAGAGTCTCTCATGGTTTGCCTCTCTCCCTTTCCCCCACCATTTCCGCCCTTCTTCTCCCCCTTGTTCCTCCGTCAAGTTCCTCCTAATCCTCCTATACGTGCAAACATATGATATTTGTCCTTCTCTGCCTGACTTATTTCGCTCAGCATAACACCCTCAAGGTCCATCCATGTTGCTACACATGGCCAGATTTCATTGTTTCTCATTGCCATGTAGTATTCCATGGTATAGATAAACCACATCTTCTTGATCCATTCGTCTGTTGATGGACACTTAGGCTCTTTCCATGTTTTAGCTATTGTGGAGAGTGCTGCTATGAACATTGGGGTACATGTGCTCCTATGCCTCAGCATTTCTGTATCCCTTGGGTAAATTCCTAGCAGTGCTATTGCTGGGTCATAAGGGAGTTCTATTGTTAGTTTCCTGAGGAACCTCCACACTGTTTTCCAGAGGGGCTGTACCAGTTTACATTCCCACCAACAGTGCAGGAGGGTGCCCGTTTCTCCACATCCTCGCCAGCATCTAGAGTTCTCTGATTTGCTCATTTTAGCCACTCTGACTGGCGTGAGGTGGTATCTCAGTGTGGTTTTGATTTGTATTTCCCTGATGAGGAGGGATGCTGAGCATCGTTTCATGTGTCTGTTGGCCATCTGGATGTCCTCTTTGGAGAAGTGTCTGTTCATGTCTTCTGCCCATTTCTTCACTGGGTTGTTTGTTTTTCGGGCGTGTAGTTTGGTGAGTTCCTTATAGATTCTGGATATTAACCCTTTATCTGATATGTCATTTGCAACTATCTTTTCCCATTCCGTTGGTTGCCTATTAATTTTCTGGGTTGTTTCCTTGGCTGTGCAGAAGCTTTTAATCTTGATGAGGTCCCAACAGTTTATTTTTGCTCTCGATTCCCTTGCGTTTGGGGATGTGTCAAGTAAGAAGTTGCTGCGGTGGAGGTCAAGGAGGTTGTTTCCTGCTTTCTCCTCTAGGGTGTTGATAGTTTCCTGTCTCACGTTCAGGTCCTTTATCCATTTTGAGTTGATTTTTGTGCATGGTGTGAGAAAATGATCTAGTTTCATTCTTCTGCATGTTGCTGTCCAATTCTCCCAACACCATCTGTTAAATAGGCTGTCTTTTTTCCATTGGATATTCTTTCCTGCTTTGTCAAAGATCAGTTGGCTGTATACTTTTGGGTCCACTTCTGAGTTCTCAATTCTGTTCCATTGGTCTATGTGTCTGTTTTTGTGCCAATACCATACTGTCTTGAGGATGACAGCTTTGTAGTAGAGGCTAAAGTCTGGGATGATGATACCTCCCGTTTTGGTTTTCTTTTTCAGTATTACTTTGGCTATTCAGGGTCTTTTGTGGTTCCATACAAATTTTTGGATAGTTTGTTCTAGTTTTGAGAAGTATGCTGATGCAATTTTGATGGGAATTGCATTGAATGTGTAGAGTGCTTTAGGTAGTAATGACATCTTAACTATATTTATTCTTCCTATCCATGAGCATGGAATGTTTTTCCATTTCTTTGTGTCTTCTTCAATTTCCTTCATAAGTTTTCTATAGTTTTCATCATACAGATCTCTTGTATCCTTGGTTAGGTTTATTCCGAGGTATTTTATGGTTTTTTGTGCAATTGTGAAGGGGATCAGTTTCTTGATTTCTCTTTCTGTTGCTTCATTGTTGGTGTATAAAAATGCAACCGATTTCTGTACGTTGATTTTGTACCCTGCAACTTGGCTGAATTCTTGGATCAGTTCTAGTCGGCTTCTGGTGGAGTCTGTCGGGTTTTCTATGTAGAGTATCATGTCATCTGCGAAGAGGGAAAGTTTGACTTCCTCTTTGCCAATTCTGATGCCTTTGATTTCCTTTTGTTGTCTGATGGCTGATGCTAGGACTTCCAGCACTATGTTAAACAACAGTGGTGAGAGTGGACATCCCTGTCGTGTTCCTGATCTCAGGGGGAAAGCTCTCAGTTTTTCCCCGTTGAGGATGATGTTAGCTGAAGGCTTCTCATAGATGGCTTTGATGATGTTTAAGTAGGTTCCTTCTATCCCAACTTTCTCGAGAGTCTTTATTAAGAAGGGATGCTGTATTTTGTCAAATGCTTTTTCTGCATCTATTGACAGGATCATACGGTTTTTATCTTTTCTTTTATTGATATGATGGATCACATTGATTGATTTGCGAATGTTGAACCAGCCCTGTAACCCAGGAATGAATCCCACTTGATCTTGGTGGATGATTCTTTTGATATGCTGCTCGATTCGATTTGCAAGGATCTTGTTGAGAATTTTTGCATCCGTATTCATCAAGGATATTGGCCTATAGTTCTCTTTTTTTGTTGGATCTCTGTCTGGCTTGGGAATCAGAGTGATGCTGGCTTCATAAAATGAGTCCGGGAGTTTTCCTTCGACTTCTATTTTTTGGAATAGCTTGAGAAGAATTGGGATTAATTCTGTTTTAAATGTCTGGTAGAATTCCCCAGGGAAACCATCAGGTCCAGGGCTCTTATTTGTTGGGAGATTTTTGATCACTGATTCGATTTCTTCACTCGTTATGGGTCTGTTCAGGTTTTCTATTTCTTTCCGTGTGAATTTTGGTAGTGAGTGTGTGTTTAGGAATTTGTCCATTTCTTCTAAGTTGTCCAATTTGTTGGCATATAATTTTTCATAGTATTCCCTGATAATTGCTTGTATTTCTGAGGGGTTGGTTGTAATAAGTCCATTTTCATTCATAATTTTGTCTATTTGGGTGCTCTCTCTTTTCTTTTTGATAAGCCTGGCTAGAGGTTTGTCAATTTTGTTTACTTTTTCAAAAAACCAACTCTTGGTTTCATTGATCTGTTCAATTGTTTCTTTGGTCTCTATGTTGTTTATTTCTGCTCTAATTTTTACTATTTCTCTTCTTCTACTGGGTTTAGGGCGTTCTTGTTGCTCTGCCTCTAGCTCCTTTAGGTGAGCTGTTAGATTTTGGACTTGTGCTTTTTCTAATCTCTTGAAATAGGCCTGGAGAGCAATGTACTTTCCTTGCCATAAGATATTAAGTAAGATGTTTTGTTTGGAGGAGGATAATTTCAGATATACCCAACAGCTGCTGGGTTTTTCCCTTCAGCAGTTCTTTAAGTAAACAATAACAAATTATTAACTGTGTTTGAGATATTTAAACAATGTAAATTGCCTTTAAATTTGTGTCACCCTGAAGTTGTTTTTAGGTTATGTAAAACCTTTCTAAAATTTGTTTTGGATTAAAACTTTTTTTTAAATGTAAAGTTCTGTTTTTGAAAAGAGTTCTTTTGAATTATCAGGTATTATAATTTTCAAGAAGTCATTTTGTTTAAGAAAATGTATTATTTCATACCCACTGTAACTTAGCATAAATTGAAAGCTTGGTATATTTAGTAATCCAATTATATCCTTTTAAAAAACAAGCTACCTTTAATGCAGGGTAAGTCTATTACTAGTTTCGTTATCTTTCATTCTGAATGATGCTGTGGGTTAGGTTTATTTCATTAGATGATGCTGATAACATTTTGAGCAATATTTAAAGTGGTATGATTTTCTGACCATAAAAAAGTTTATTTACACTAGAAAATCCGTAATTTAGTAAATATACTAATAAAAGTCATCATAAACTTGACATTTTCTGAGTGCCATATGAACATTATTTGACAGGTATAAAGAATGAGAATATGGTTTAATTTATGAATGGTTCATCTAACAAGTGAAACCCCCCCTACCCAAAAGGACTAATTTCCTTTCTAAAGATATCTACAACCAAAACTTTGATATAATTCAAATTGTTTGGTTTTTGATAATGCTCAAATATTATAGCCGTTGGGTGAATAATATGAACCAGCAGACCCGATAAGATTTGCTTGTCTAACTCAAGTAATTCGTTTTGCATCACAGCCTTGACATCTCTCTATTTCAGTACCTTCTCTCCATATCTCATCTCCATTTTCTAAACGTTCTCTTCTATTCCTTGTTGCTAATTGTGGTTATCTCTCTCTTCAGGGATGCTCTCAAACTGGTCCAGTTGAAAGAAACGGGCAAGATTACTGAATCCAGACCCACTCCAGCCCCTGTAGCTACTCCCACAGTGCCTGTGCCCCCTCAGGCCGTAGCCACGCCACCTTATCCACGGCCGATGGTCCCACCAATATCAACTCCTGGACAACCTAACGTAGCGGTAATATCATTTGAGTAGATTTTTATGTTTTCAGACTTAAGTAAGAAAATAAGAACCGTTACTCTCTGTTTTTTTTTTTTAATTAGTTTATTTATTTTGAGAGAGAGAGAGAGACCGTGAGTAGGGGAGGGGCAGAGAGCAAGGGAGAGAGAAACTTGGGGCTCATAGTTATGAAACTGCGAGATCATGACCTGAGCTGAAATCAAGAGTTGGATGCTTAACTGACTGAAAACCCAGGCACCCCAACTGTCTGTTTGACAAATAATTCTACCAATCCATTTTAGTAGTAGCTAATAGTGATTAAGAAAAATTCTCCAGATGCTTTGTTTCGTAGACTCCTAGCGCAAACCCAATTTGTGTGGTGCTAACTTTCAAATCCAGTGCCGTAGAAGTATGCTCTGTAATCATGCTGCTTTTCACATAGCTTTTCTCGGGTGTGGTACTAATAGTTGGTAGCCACTGCTAGCCCTCTTCTGTGGCTGTTTTATTTTCTATTTTAATGTTTATTTTTATTTTTGAGAGAGAGGGCATGAGCAGGAGATTGGCATAGAGAGAAGGGGGGGGGGACAGAGGATCCCAAGCAGGCTCCACACTGGCAGCATGGAGCCTGATGCGGGGCCTGCACTCCCGAACCACAAGATCATGACCTCAGCCAAAGTCGGACACTCAACCGGCTGAGCCACCCAGGCTCCCCTTGCCTGAGGGAATTGATACTCTCACCATGAAGAACTATAGAGACTCTATAGCTAGTCGTTCTTTCTCAGATACAGGCAGTAACAGCCCTTTTTTGTTGTCAGAATATTCCATTTTGCCTCTTTGTATCTTTGTACCTCCCTTTCTTAGTATCTTCAATGTCATTTGCTTCCCATCAGAAGAAATGCAGGATAGGGGCGCCTGGGTGGCTCAGTCGGTTGAGCATCCGACTTTGGCTCAGGTCACGATCTCACGGTTCGTGGGTTCAAGCCCAGCATCAGGTTCTGTGCTGGCAGCTCAGAGCCTGAAGCCTGTTTTAGATTCTGTGTCTCCCTCTCGCTCTGCCCCTCCCCCACTCATGCTCTGTCTCAAAAATAAATAAAAACAATATAAAAATTTTAAAAAAAAGAAGAAGAAATGCAGGATAATCAGGTTCATGTAAAACTGAGAGGGAAAACAAAAAAACAAAACAAAAAAAACCCTGAATGGGCACTTAAAAAATAAATAAAGCTATCTTGCTCTTTCTAATGGAGAAATATATTCCAGTGTAATATTTTAAAATAGTTGCAAACAGTATAAATTTCATGTGAAACAATTTTTAATGTAAATTCATGGTTCATGACTGCATATACAAAAAATTTATGTGTAATCAAATCTTATGTTTTTAAGAAGTAGGCTATTCAAATTAGGAAGATAAACCTTACTTTCAAATTTTTATGGTATACAGAGAGCATTTATACTATCTGAACAAATACTTTGCCAATATAAAGTGTTTCATTTCCTAAGGACTCAGGTATATTTTTAGCTGCTTAATTAGAAGTGACGATGATCTTGTCCCAGAATGGGGTGAAGGGCAAGGAAGGAATCACAGGTAGTTTAAGGTGGATCCTGCTTCTGTTAGAGTTTCAAGGAGCAGAGTGGAAAAGCTATAGTAATGTTATAGGAAGATTTTATTCTCTTACTTACACTTTTTATTATGCATTTTTAGGAAATATGATACTCATGTGATTTCTTTTATAAATTACAAACCAAAATTGAAAGAGTTTGGCAGATCATCCAGTATATTATCTTTTTCTACTGCACACCATTTTTATAAATAGGAATTGTCTGTTGTTGGTTTATTGATGTTTTTGGATGCTTTGAGTTTTATTAAGTGATGTTTATAATAAGCTACTGACAGGTGGTACATGTTTGTGTCTCTGTCTCTGTTCCATATAGACACCCATGGGAGAATTATTCATGACCTGGTAGATTTCTGTTTGATCATCTTATACAAAGTAACATAAAATATCTCATTTATAACTAAAATATGAATTTTACTACTTTTTTCTACAGTTACATACTATAAAATTAAAACTGTGGATTTCTCATATTCCTCCTTATATTAAGAATTTTTAATTGTATTTTTCCTCTGTTAATCTTTATTACCCAAAGTTAAGTCACTGTGACTAGATTGTAGTATTAGGATTTATTTTTTCAACTTCCATTTATGGCTTAATGGACAGATTGCAATTTCTTTGCAGGGCACATTCACTGAAATCCCTGCTAGCAATATTCGAAGAGTTATTGCCAAGAGGTTAACTGAATCTAAAAGTACTGTACCACATGCATATGCTACTGCTGACTGTGACCTTGGAGCTGTTTTAAAAGCTAGACAAAGTCTGGTCAGAGGTTAGTAAAGTTAAGTTTACTTAATATAGTACACGTATTGTATAATCCTTTACTTATAAAGGCACATTGTGCAGCTTTTTATTTCAGTTTCATCATCTGGGTGTATTTTAGTGCTAAAGAAAAGAATTGGTTCACCTTCCTTATAAGAAACAAATTGATTGCATAGTATTGAGTAAATCACGTGTTTTAGTATGATATCTGAGCAAAGCAATCCTTAACATTTTAGAAAGTATAAAATCCAAAACTGATTGAAGAATGTTTTAGATTTTACATATATCTTAAATACCACTCTTCGTTACATAAGTTTTAATTTTTTATATCTTCTTCAAAATGAACTTTCAGGTTATGAAATTTGTAATGTACTTCCCAGCACATCAGTTAAAACTAAGATTGCTGGGGGAGCTGCACATTCTTAGCATGAACTGATGTTTTCTTTCTTTCCAATCTGTATGGCTTTTATTTCATTTTCTTGCTCTTTTGAACTGGCCAAGACCTCTGGTACAATGATGAATATAAATGGCAAAAGCAGACATTTTTGCCGTGTTCTTGGTCTTAGGAGAAAACATTCAGTCTTTAATGTTAGTTGTAGGTTTTTTGTGATGCCTTATGTTAGGTTGAGGAGATTCATGTTCCTAATTTGCTGAGAGTTTTAAGCATAAACGGATGTTGAATTTTGTCAAATGCTTTTGTGGATCTTTTGAGATAATCTTTCCTTTTTCACTCTGTTATTTTGGTAAATTATTTTGGTTGATTTCTAGATGTTGAATAAACTTGTATTCCTCGTATAAAACTCATCAACCATTAATTTTCTTATATATATATATTTTACTGTTTATTTACTTTTGAGAGAGAGAGAGAGAGAGACCGCTCTTGTTCAAATGAGGGGGGAATGGCAGAGAGGGAGTGGAGACACAGAATCTGAAGCAGGCTCCAGGCTCTGAGCTGTCAGCAAAGAGCCCTGATGTGGGGCTCAAACTCATGAACCGCAAGATGATAATGATCTGAGCTGAAGTCAGACACTTAACTGACTGAACCACCCAGGTGCCCCTTCTTATATATTCTTGATCCCATTTCCTAAAATTTTGCTAAGAATTGTTATACTTCCCTGTAGTTTTCTTAAAGATGTTTGTTTGTTTGTTTGTTCCCTGGGTTTGTTACCAGATCTCACAGAATAAATTGGGAAATGTTTCCTTCTCCTTTATTTTTTGAAAAAGTTTGGGTAGAATTGGTTTTATTTCCTTTTTAATTATTTAGTAGAATTCACCAATGAGGCTACCTGTCTAGGTCTATGATTTTCTTGTGGGCAGATTTTTAGCTATAAATTCAATTTTTAAAAATAGATGTATCGATTTCTTCTGGAATGAGCTTTAGTAGTTTGTGTCTTTCAAGGAATTTGTTTATGTCATCTAAGTAATGAAATTTACAGTAGTCTCCCCTCATCCACAGGGAATGTATTCCAGGACCCCCTGTGGATGCCTGCAACCACTGATGGTACCAAACCCTGTATATACTCTGTTTTCTCTTATGCATACATACCTGTGATAAAGCTTAACTTAAAAATTAGACATAGAGATTAACAACAATAATTATGGCCTGGGTGGCTCAGTCGGTCAAGCACCTGACTTGGGCTCAGGTCATGATCTCACGGTTCGTGGGTTTGAGCTCTGCATCAGGCTCTGTGCTGACAGCTAACTCAGAGCCTGGAGTCTGTTTCGGATTCTGTCTCCCTTTCTTTCTGCCCCTCCCCTGCTCACTCTGTCTCTGTCTCTGTCTCTCTCTCTCTCAGAAATAAATAAAAAATTTTAAAAAATAAAAATTAAAAAAAGAGATTAACAACAACGTAATAAATAGAACAACTATAATGATATACTGTAATAAAAGTTAAGTGAGTGTGGTCTCTCTGTCTTTAAATGTCTTACTGTCCTGTACTCACCCCTCTGTTATGATGTGAGATGGTAACAGGCCTACGTGATGAGATGGTGCGAGGTGAATGATGTAGGCATTGTGACGTAGTGTTAGGGTATTGATGACCTTCTAACAGTATGCCATCTGCTTCGGGGCTGCTGGGTAACTATGGGTAACTGAAACTCTGAAAAGTAGAACTATGGATAAAGGGGTCTGCTGTGTTGGCATAAAGTTGTTTATAATACTACCTTACTATACTTCTAACACTGTAATCTGAAGTGATGTCCCCATTTTCAGTATTAGTAATTTGTGTCTTTTGACTTTCCTGATCAATCTGGCTGGAGATTTATAAATCGTATTGATCTCTTCAAATAATCAGCATTTAATTTCATAAGATTTCTTCATTGTTTTTATAATTTTCTTTTTGATTTCTGCTCCTACCTTTTTTTTCTTTTTCTCTGTTTGCTTTGGTTTTAATTTGCTCTTTAGTCTTCTAGTTTCCTAAGGTGAAGGCTGAGATCAATATAAAATAATAAACCTTAATTCTAACATAAGCATATAATACTTTTAAGGTCTCTTTCAGCAGTGCTTTAGATGAAGCACTTCCACAAAGTTTGATGTGTTTTATTTTTCTTTCTATTCAAGATGTTTTCTAATTTTCCTTGTCATGTCTCTTTTGATCCATGAATTATTTAGAAGTGTAAGTATAATTTCCAAATATTTAGGGGACCTTTCAGCCTTTCTTTTATGATTTCTTGCTTAACTCCATTGTGCTTAGAGAACATGCTTTGTATGACTTAAATCTTAACTTTTTTGAGATTTTAGAGTCATGATGTGGTCTATCTTGATGAATGTTCCGTGTGTATTTGAAAAGAATATATGTTCTACCTCTGAGGAGTGTTCTATAAGCGTCAGGTGAAGTTGGCTCGTAGTAGTGTTCATGTCTTCATATCCTTACTGATTTCCTATGTGTTCCGTCAGTTCTTGAAACAAGAGTGTTGATGTCCCTGGTTATTATTAGGATTTGTCTGTTTTCCCTTTGAGTTCTATTGGTTTTATATCATTCTGAGGATGTGTTATTAGGCACAGAACACATTTAGGATTTTCATGTGTTCCTGATGAACAGACATGTCCTGGAATGTCCCTGTTCATCCCTGGTATGATATTTCTTACCCTGAAGCCTGCCTTATCTGATATTGATACAGCCAGTCCAGATTTCTTTGATTAATGTTTTTATTTCTTTTTACTTCTAATGTATCTGCATCTTTATATTTATTATTTTCAATTTAAAAATTTTTTTATTTATTTTTGAGGGAGAGACAGAGACAGAGCACTAGCAGGTAGACAGAGAGAGAGAGAGATACAGAGATAGAGACACAGAATCAGAAGCAGGCTCCAGGTTCTGAGCTGTCAGCACAGAGCCTGACACAGGACTCGAAAGCATGAACCACGAGATCATGACCTGAACCAAAGTCAGATGCTTAACTGACTCAGCCACCCAGGTGTCCCGCTGTGTCTTAATATTTAAACTGACTTCTTGCAGACAGCATATAATTTTTCTTACGTTTTTACCTAATCCTATATTCTGTCTTTTAATTAAAGTGTTTGGACCATTCACATTTAGTAGTTTTGTCCTTTGTTTTTCCTTTGTACTATTTTCCTCTGTACCATTTTGTCCTTTGTTTTTATTTGTCCCATCTCTTCTTTTTTTTTTTTTTCCTGTTTTCTTTGCCTCTTTTTTCTTTTCTGTATTGGTTGCTTTTTAATTTTTTAATTCCATTTTATTTCTGTTTTACCTTTCTCTATGTGGTGGTTTCCTTAAGGTTTATGATATAATTCTTTAACTCATCACAGTCTACTTTCAAATTTTTATCACACCCCTTCATGTGTAATGTAAGAACTTTACAACAACATATTATATTTTCTCCCTTCTATCCTTTGTGCTCTTATGATCATGTTTTATTTCCACATGTGGTATAAGCACCAGCATATATGTCTGTTGTGTTTTTGCTTTAGCAAATCAATTATGTTTTAAAGAGTTTTAAAAATGCAGGGGAAAAAAAGTCTTTTTGTATTTTCCTCTTTTCTTTTTGCCATTTTTTTGGTCTTCTACATTTCTCTATATAGATACAAAATGCTTATCTGGTGTTTACTTCTGCCTAAAGAATTTCCTTTAATGTGTCTTGTAGTATAGGTTGGCTGGCAATAAATTCTCAGCTTTTCTCTGAAAAAGGTCTATTTCTCCTTCATTTATTTCCCCTTCTTTAATTATTAATTATGGTAAAGTATATACAACATAAAATTTACCATCTTAACGATTTTTAAGTGCACAGCTTAGGGATCATAGTACTTCCACATTGCTATGCAAACATCACCACCATTTATCCATAAAACCCTTCATTGTGCAGAACTGAAATCCTATCCCCACTAGAACCAGAGCTTCCTCTTTTCCTCTCCTCCTGGCCTCTAGCCACCAGCATTCTTTCTGTCTCTATGGAGGTGACTATTAAGTACCTCATATGAGTGGAATCATATAGTGCTTGTCTTTTGGTGCCTGGCTTGTTTCACTTCACGTACTGTTCAAAGGTCTATCCATGTTGTAGTATGTGTCAGGATTTCCTTTCTTTTTAAGAATGGATAATATTCCATTGTATGTATTTACCATATTTTGTTTATTTATCTGTCAGTGGACACTTGAGTTACTTCCACCTTTGACTCTTGTGAATATGGAGGTATACATCTCTCTCTGTGTCCATGCTTTCACGTCTCTTGGGTCTATCCCCAGAAATATTATTGCTGGATCATATGGTAATTCTGTCTTTAATATTTTAAAGAGCTGCCATGCCATTTTCCATTGTGACGGCACCATTTTGCATTCCTATCGGGTGCGCCCAAGGGTTCCAGTTTCTCCATGTCCTTGCCAACACTCGTTGGCAACCATCCTGATGGGTGTGTCTCCTTTGCTTCTGGTATTTCTGTTGGATGTAGATTTTTGAGTAAAAAGATTTTCGGTTTCTGTACTTTAAATAAAGATCCCATTCCATTATCTTCTGACTGGCCAAATATCTGCTGCCATTCTTAATCTCTGCTCCCCTCTATAATGATGTCACACCACCGGCCCCATTGTCTTCAAGATTCTCTACATGGGCAATTTGATTATTATATGCCTTAGGTCTTTTTTCTACTGTAGTTATTCCATTTGGGTTTCTCTTAGCTTCTTGGATTTGTGGTTTGTTGTCTTTCATTAATTTTGGAAAACTCCTAGCCATTATATTTCACTGTATGTTCTGCCTTATGTGTTTTCTCTTTGGAACTCTGATTATAAATGTTCAACTGTTTGAGTTGTATAAAGCTCTTAGATCCCCATTTTTTTCTTTTTTCTTTACCTTTTTTTTTCTCTTTGTGCTTCCATTTGGATAATTTTTGTTGATCTAGCTTCAATGTCACTGACTCTCTTCTCAGCTATGTTTAGTCTGTGAATCTTAACAACAAATATCTTTATCTTTGATAGCATTTTTTTCCCTGAGATGTCCATATGAATGTTGTTTTATAGTTTCTATCTGTCTCCTGATATCCCCCTTTGTTCATGTGCATTGTCCCATACTTTGTCCTGTACTTTCTCATATTCTGACAGAGGTTAATCATTTCATGTGTTCGTCCTTCCTCAGGGGAGTCATCACCCTTGACTTTCAGTTCACTTGTTTGCCTTGTAACCTTGGCTTCCTAATGGACTCAGGAAAAGTTATGATTTTGTAACTTCTGCTTTTCTTCTGCCCTGTTAGGGTAGGAAAAACATTCTCCTCTGGCTTTCTACATCTTAAGTGACAACAGAATTGGTATTTCAGTTTAAATACACACTTTGAAGAATTCATATGAAGACAACCTGACAGCTCTTAAAAGTTCAAGGAAATAAATGGAAAGCTACTTCAGAGAAAATTCTCAGAATTCAAAAAGTTAACCCTGGATTCTCTCTTTAATAGATTTTAAGTGTACTTGCTAAGTCATGATATAGAGATCATGAGGGGAATAATTTTCCTTGTTTCTTCCTTTCATGAGGCAGGGAACAGTACTATTTCAGTGGAGGGATTTGGAGCAGTTTAGTATCTTTTCATGGTCCCAGCTTTGGTATGTCTTTGCAGTTATGAATTTTCAGGGGGAGGTCTTCAAAGAGCCCATGTTATTTATCTCCAGTCCTCTTTCTTATATAGTTATAATATACCAGTCTCTAAGCATGTCTGCACTGTTTTATAATGATATACAAATGAAAATGATTGATATTCTCTCACAAATTATATCCCAATCAATGTCACCATCAGTCTCCTTTCTATATATTTGAAAATTTCCATAATAAAGAGTTAAAAATAAAGTAACTTGAAAAACCCCTCCTTTGTACTTTTTTGATTTTCAATGCCAAAGAGAAATGTCATGTGGGAGAGAGGACATACAAGTCTGGAGCTCCTGATGCATTGGCATTGGAGGTAGCATTTGAAGGAATTATCATTATATGAATGGTATCAAAGTCCTGGAACAGAAAGTTCTTGCCTGGGGAAAATGAGTAAGTGGTAAAGAGTGGAAGAAAACACAGGAGTATAGTGACACAGAAGCCAGTCAGAGAGTGTTTCGAGAAGAAACTGATCAATTCAAGAGCACCAAATGTTGGAGTACAGTGAGAGCAGAGAACTTAGGTGAGCACTGCAGACTCCAGCGGTAGAGAGGGAACCATCAGCCTGTGGATGGTTTGAGAAGTCTTCACTGTGGATACCTGTGGATAGTAGATTAAGGGAGAAGGAGGTTGAGGGAGCCAGGAAAAGTCAGCACAATAAGTTCATAAGATCTGTCCACATATTGGGATTTATGCAGACCAAGTCTTTTGTATGTGGTTATCATTAAAATTCTCTAAGTACTGGAAATCCACTCACATTTTTACTCATAAAGAGGTTTAAAACAGGCAAACAAAAATATTTATGTCTCTGGGAATTTGATTTAAAAGAGCCATGATTTGGATGAGCAGGTGGCTCTTACCATGACAGTTTGGCAGTATTTGGGTTTATGGTAATTCATCTAATGTCTCTGAAATCTCCAGCGTGCCTTGGGAATGAGCTGTTATTCATGTAAGATTCCATGATACTATAGTAATGGGATTTGTGTATCTTGCCACATACCATTGACTAGATCTTGATCTTAAACTCTCTGTCTAGAAGCCATTGCAATAGAGAATCAAGTGTAGTTTACATTTTTCAATACTTTCCTATCCACCGGGAAAAGCAGAAGTATAAATTGAATGCTTTAGTTATGATCAGCTCTCTGGGAAGGGAGGGGACCTCAGCTTTATCTTGAAATCATTATGTATACTGGAAGGAAATTGATTCAAATGGAATCACCATAAAACTAGACAGAAAACCTCATTTTGTTCATTGCACCAGGACTTGTGCCAACATTGCTTCATCTTTGGCCTTTGCTATATCCTGTTTTGTTAAGTTAAAAAGCAGCTCAATGGTCTTAAATTTTTATGGTATCCATTAATAAGAAATTTCTTTCTCTTTAGATAGATAAGATAGATAGATAGACAGACAGACGGACGGACAGACGGACAGAGATATCTTTAAAGAGACTATGTTACTGCTGTTCTAGTATAATCAATATATTATAAAGCTCATGTAGAAAGAAGACATTTGAAAAGGAAGAGAGAAAAAAATGAATCCTTCAAATTGTTATATAGAGAGACCATTTGTGTTTTTAGAGACATAGGAGTTGTTTCTTTTCTTTCTAATTACGGTTATAATGTATCCTTCAAACTCTTGTATATTATATCTAAGCAATTAAAAGAATTGTAATGAAGTCCAAGAAGTAATCATTTACATGTATGGCTAATATTATTTGTCCAGGGCCTCATATAAGTTTTCCTAATCAGGGAAATTTTACTGACTAAGCAAACCAAAACTTCTAGTATTTTTCATTATAGTTTGTCAATGCGTAAGTTTGCAATCATAATGGTCAATGTTAAAGTTTCATTATGAACGCTAATTTTGATATGCTTGTTTTTCTTTCAGATGACATTAAAGTATCAGTAAATGATTTTATCATCAAGGCAGCAGCTGTTACCCTTAAAGTAAGTAGCAGACCCCAAATAATTTTGGCTTCTAAAATAGTCTCATGTCAGGGCGCCTGGTGGCTCAGTTGGTTGAGTGTCCAACTTTGGCTCAGGTCATGATCTCATGGCTTGGGAGTTCGAGCCCAGTGTCAGGCTCTGTGCTGACAGCTCGGAGCCTGGAGCCTGCTTTGGATTCTGTCTCCTCTCTCTGCCTCTCCCTCACTCATGTTCTGTCTCTTAAAAATTAATAAACATTAAAATATTTTTTAAATAGTCTCATGGTTTGGGATTGTTATATGATAAATAGAACTCTCATTTTTAAGTCACAAAAATTTTGTAATGTTACTGCTAAAAAGATATTTAGTCTCACCCCCTCAGTTACACAGATGAAACTGAGAATCAGTAGGGTTTATGACTAATCGTAGCAGAACAAAGACCATTCAGCAAATACGAATTGATCCCCTGTGGTGTGCTGAGTACATTGCAGACATTAGAGATACAATAGTGAATGAAGGTCTACATGTTTTCTGCTCTCCTGGGGCATATACTCTAGATGGAAGAGACTGGTATTTGTAGATAGTGAAAGGATTGAAGACCCAGGGAAAGTAGATTTGGGGTGTCATTGTGTACAGTTAGGCAAGGAAGGCCTCTCTGGCAAGGTGATAACTAAGCCAAGGCCTGAAAAAGAGGGTGTGAGCCACACACATCCCTGGTAGAAGAGTGCTCCAGGCAGAGGGAACTGCAGACACAGCGGCTGGGAGAAGAGAGTGCTGCCTTTCAGACATGGCACCAGGGACAAAGTGTGCCCAGGAGAGAGAAGGTAGGAGATGAGATTGAACAGATGATATTAAAAGACGGAGGAGTTGAGAGGGCCCCCAAGCAACTTGGTGGCCATGAAAAGGACTAGGGGTTTTATTATCAAGGGGAAGGAAGCCTTTGGAGGGGATTGAGAGAGGACTGACATCCTACTTCTCCTTTACAAAGAAGGAGTGACTGCTCTGATGGTTTGAGGAGTACAGCCTGTGGAGAGGCCGGGGTGGCGGTGCTCTCCTGCGAGGCTGTACACCCTGACCATGGTGTGGACGCAGGTGGCAGCTAGCAGGAAGGCCAGGGTGAAGGCGAGATTTGGGATACGTTTCAAAGCAGAGCCAATAAGATTTACTGATGGATTGAATGTGGGATGTGAAAGACGAGCACTTTGGCCCAAGCAGTGGGAGGAATGGAGCTTTCCACGTATGGAGATTGGGAATGTGGGAGAGGAGCAAGTTCGAGGTAGGCGTTCTAGAGTTGGATTTGGACAGAACTCAGTTTGAGAAGCCAAATGGTGTCCCAGTAGAGCAGCCAGGAAGACAGGTGAGCAGTGGGGGTGTCTGGCTGGATGCATAGGTTGGAAAACCAGATTTCCTGCCTTCCTGCTCTGCACCATTTTCTGTCTTGCCTTTCTTTTTATAACTAGGCCATTTTTCTGGTTTGTTGTGTATCAAGTATACTTAAAGTATGCTTATAAGGAATTTATTTTTATTTCTTGAATACAGTAATAGGGAATTTTAAAGTTATGTCTTTTCTTAGCTATTCATATCTAAGTGCTCATATGGCTTTTGTCTTTTGACCAAATATTTTAAATTGTATTAGTGATTTTTTAAATTATGAATCATTCTTGTCCTCCTTAAGTGACTCTCAAGTGGTCATTACATTTCATTTCATAATTTTGTATCAGGAACTGTGATTGCAATTTAAATTTTGTGCTAGTTTTATCAGGCTTTTTTAAAACCATTGGCTTCTTAAAATGAATTTGGGTCCTTTTTTTCTTTCCTTTCTCTGTGATTACTTCATTATTACAAAGATTTTTATTTCTTGAAGCTTTTATAGAATTCACCAATAAAAATATCTGAGCCTAGTTCTGTTTTGAGGAGGTAGCCTTGACAACTCTCTCATTTTTCCCCATAATTATTGACCTGCTTAATTTTCAGTTTTTTCTTGAATCACTTTTGGATTCCCAGAAAATCACTCATTTCATCTGGATTCCCAAACTTACCAGCCTAGAGTTATTTAAATCTGCTTCTTCTAATATTGTAATGTCCTCAAGGCTGGCTTTATTCTATACCCTGTGTCGCTATTACTATTGTATATTTGTGTTTTCAGTCCTTTTATATTGTTTCCATATGTATTCTTTCCGTCATTTCCTTAGCTGTAGAATAGAATTAGATTAGACTTTGGTTGAAAATATTTTGTTAGGGGCGCCTGGGTGGCTCAGTTGGTTGAGCTTCTGACTTCCGCTCAGGTCATGATCTCACGGTTCGTGGGTTCGAGCCCCGCATCGGGCTCTGTGCTGACAGCTCGGAGCCTGGAGCCTGTTTCAGATTCTGTGTCTCCCTCTCTGACCCTCCCCTGCTCACGCTGTCTGTCTGTCTGTCTGTCTCTCTCTCTCTCTCTCAGAAATAAATAAAACATTAAAAAAATCTTTTAAAAAAATATTTTGTTAGAAAATGTGAAATAATTATTATAATTCTCAATATGAATAAGAAAGTTTAAGGGTATGAAGTTTCCTTTGCCTGCAACTGAGACCACGTCCCCCGGGCTTTTGTTACATTGCTTCGTAATTATATTTCTTTTGCCAGGTATTCCTCACTTGGGAAGGGCTTTTTTCCCCTTCTTTTTCTTTAGTGTCCTCTATGTAGGATTTAAAATCTTCAGGGGGTGGGGGATGGGACTTCACCATTGTCTTATTTTGACAAACGAGCTTTGATTACTTTGAATAGAGCAGGAGTGAGTCTAACAGGACCGGGAGAAGCACGGAGGGAAATGCCTCTTTGGGGAGGGCTCACAAGTACACTTAGGTTGGCTGTTACCAAAGCAGAGAATGTTTGGGAAGAGAAATTCATTTGTGATTTCTGGCTTTCAGCATCACTCTCTCTGATACTCGGCAGCAGTTATCAGTATACATTGTCTCCAGGCATTATCCGTTTCCTCCACTCTTCTCATCTTCTGTGTAGCTGTAGGTATACTAAACACATGCACGCTGTACACACAGTGTCTGTCGTATGTTTGTGAGGCTGGGGAAATCTCTCCTAAATATGGAAATCACTTATTAAGGGCCGGATGATATCCACCAGGGCTACACTACAAAATTGTGCCTTCTATATGCTACAGGAATATGTGGCTGAACGTTGCTACCCATTCCCCTCCCCTCTTCTCCTCAAGGCCATGTCGGTCAATGTATGAGACAGGAAGTATGGCAAATGCTAAATGCTTTTTAGTAATCAGGTTTCACAGAGGGAGACCTTTTTTTAGCCATGATTTATTATAAGCCATGATTTATTATCAGGCTTGGTTCAGAAAAGAGTATATGTTTATTCTTCCCAAACATTGATGACATTTAACACTGAGATCCACATCATTGTTTCAAGCCAAAGCTTCCCTTATTAGCTCTGTCCACCTCTATTCACTTTCAAAAATGCAGAATAATTTTAGTTATTTTTCTTTAACCACCTCGATCTAAAGCTGCTTCTTTAGTGACATGTTTCTTCTATTTCTGTTCTGCAGCAAATGCCAGATGTTAATGTGAGCTGGGACGGAGAGGGCCCAAAGCAACTGCCTTTTATTGACATTTCAGTGGCTGTGGCAACAGATAAAGGTCTAATTACACCAATCATAAAAGATGCCGCCGCGAAAGGTATACAGGAAATTGCTGACTCTGTAAAGGTATGTCTGTGCTTTCAAAATGTTAGTCTTTACTCTGATAAAGTCTTGACATGATCTAGTCACACTGTGATAGAGATAGATATGTATTAGTATTTTCAAGTGATTGTCAGCTGTGTATGAACGTTTTTAAGGTTTTATCTAGGTAGAACCCATTTTAAGAACATTTAATATTCAAAAACTCAGAAAGAACATACAGATAGATTCGGATCTACTGTATTCAAGTTATAGGTGAGATTTTATTTCCCAAAGTCTAGAATTCCACTCTAAAGGTGATATTTTAAATAGTTTTCTTAAGTCTATATTTTAAAAAAAATTTTATTTATTTCTGAGAGAGGGGCAGAGCAGAAGTGGAGGAGGGGATTTTAGATAGTTTTAAAGTTAAAGCTGAAACTGTATATTTCTATGAAGGTGGTGGATAGATCTCACTGTTCACAGTGTTTTATTCTTAAAAACTAATGTTACTCATTTCCTCTCTAGAATTGAGACCACTGAATGTCCTTAATTTTCCAGAAGCAAAAGTACTGGACTTTTCCTGAGTTTCTTGAAAAACAATTTTTCTAGCTCCAATATGAAGGCATGAGATTACCCCCCAAATATCCATTGAGCAGCATAGGAACATGGGCAGTAGATCGGCTTTGACAGCCTGTATAATTTCCAAAGATTTTTTTGACAGAAGTATCATGGCTCTTATAGTGTTAGAATTGAACATTTCAGGCTATTTAGATGAATGATTCTTTTCTCTTTTTCATTTACCAAAGACCAGTTGCATATCTAGTGGACCAAAGAGTTACACTTTTAAAAGTAGAAGATAAGATCTCTTTGGAGAGCTGACAGCATACGCATGTGTAGATGTACTTGCCCAAAATACATGAACACAAGTTAATCTACTTTTTAAAAGCATACTCTTAGAATCTTTGAGTTGGATATAGTTAAGGGTGACCTTAGTAGAATGAACATTTTTAGCTCTTTCTTCACTTCTCTTTGAAAAGATTAGAAGAATGTGTTTGTATAGATAAAAATGCAGCTGTTTTTTTAATTGAGTGGTGATTTAATTTGGCCTGATCAGAAGTCAAAGTAAAAAATGTTGGTTTTCTAAGATAGTTGTGTGCCTTTTATTCATCAGAAGTTTTCAACAACAATGAGAATACATGTATTATTAGTGTTTTTGTGAAATTCAAATGGGATTAAACTTAACTATAGAGTTAGAATTTTCTGTATTTTTATATATTCTTATTTTTAATATTTATGTATTTCTTATATATTAAATTACTAAAAGTAAGCATTGTAGGAAGGCCACTTTGCTTTTGACCAATTTACTAATTTTACTGTGATAATACATAGTTCTTAAAGTAGCTGTGTTAGTATTCCCTATTTCTTGTATTCTGAAAGAAGCTAAGCTGAAGTGGTAAGGAAACAGTGTGAACAACCTCTCAGCAGTGGGAAGGGCAGCCTTGACCCTTTGGAAGGCTCCAGGGTCTCTGTGATAGTCCTTGAGGTTTTCCTGTAATTCCCGGCAGCCCTTAAGGTTTAGTGTGCTCTGGCTACTCTGCTTCACACTCTCCCTGCTTCTTCTCCCACCCTTCTGCCTGTGATCAACACTCTCCTCTCTCTTGTTCTTAGGGTAGATGAGACACCAGGCTAAGCACTTTATTTAATCCTATTAGCCCAGTATCATAGTTGAAACCTTAATTTCCCCAATTTGAAATTGAGGAAATGGAGTTTTAGTGCCATTAAGAAATGTGCCCAAGGTATGCATCTAGAAAGCAGAAGTGAGGATTTATTTAAATCTGGCTATCTCTCAATTCACGTGCCATTTTCTTAGGCCTTCTCTGACTTCCATTGCTAACGCAGCTTCCTGACGTTACCCTGTTTTAGTGTGTTCATGTAGTTGATCATTCTTTGAGATCACTTCCTTTATTTATTTGTTTATTGATCCTTCTCTGTTCCTTCCTGTCTGATGTTCACAGTCTTGTTTTTGTCATATATCCAATTCTAGAAGAGTACATGGAGATAGTAGGTGCTAAGTGAATTTATTTGTTTAACTTTCAATAAAATCTTTTATTTAAATTAAGGTTTCAAGGAATTTGTGGGTCTCTGCAACTCCATCTGGACCCAGAATGGATAATACTGGCACTAAGGTTTTACTTCTTGACTCTCACTAACCTTAAGGATGTCACTGTGCGGTGCTGAAGGCATGCCTTTGCTAAGTTCAAGTTTGTATTCCCTAAAGAAAGTAATATAGTAACAAGCCTTAGATCTCATGCTTCATTAATTATAACATTTTAAAAGACAGATGCAAAGTTTTCCTCAGTTTACCCAGAATGTTCTTTAAATGAGTTAGTAAGAAATGTGACATATTTTAGCAATATTTGCTAGTCCTCTTGTATTACATCCTTTCAGCTAAAGGCTTCAGGTAACGTGTGCTTGATTTTAAGTTTACGTTGCTGGGAAATCCCAGTGAGAATTAGGGAGTTTTGAAACCAGGGATCCTCCTCAGAAGTATTCTCATTGTGCCGGGTTTTTCGAGTTCATCGGTAGGAATATCCTGCTGATATGTTTGGGGCCTACAGAGATTTTTTTTTTAAAGTATATTATGTGGGCTTACAATCCAGTTTTTAAAATGAATATGTGTTTTATTTGTTTTAGCCTGGTAATTCATCAGGATTGTTGAGATCATCTGCCTTTAAAGAAATGCCTTTCAATAAATAAATATGTAAATAAATACCTACATACACACATACATTCATACCTTTCAAAGTTCACAATACGTACCTGTTTAAATGATGTGAACAGTTACATCGCTTAAGGCAGAAAAACCACATTTGTAGATTGTCCTGTCTCTGATAGTCTAAGGACCATGCTAAGTTCATCTTTCCAATTTTCATTTGGATCCAAGTAATTTTGTAAATAAGTGCATCCAACTAGTGTAAATAAATATGTAGTCATCTCAGGTGTCAGTAAGTCACCATGATATGTTGAGATCATTTTTAGACTTTTAAAGAACGTTTTATTTTTCAAAAATTAAATCATCTATGGTGACTGTAATGGTACCTATGTTAGGCCGATAGTACAGAAAATTAAGTAAGCTTCAGATTTATTTTATCTCCTCAGATGATAATACCTTTATTTTTCTCCTTCTTCCCCTCATAAATTAGTTAATTATTAATTTTTCATATATTATGACTCAACCTCCGTTTCTTTGTCTTTAAAACATTAAAACATAAAAATTAACACGAGGGTAATTAATTGCAAGGGCAAGTAAAAGAATAACTACTTAGTTTTTTTTTAAATGTTTATTTATTCTGAGAAAAAGAAAAAGAAAGGGAGGGGTAGAGAGAGAATCCCAAGCAGATTTGGCACTGTTAAAACACACCCAACCCAGGGCCCAAATCTACAAACCTAGAGATCTTGACCTGAGCCGAAATCGAGAGTTGGATGCTCAACTGATTTAGCCACCCAGGTGCACCTGAGCGACTTTTCTTAGTATCATTCTCAGACCGTTCATCTGTCTTTTCCTCTGTCAGTTTTTAGAAATCAGTTTTGCCAAGAGTGATATGAAATTACTATATTTTTATATTCCTCATGGCAGTGTAAATTGGACTAGCTCATTGAGGAAATGCTTCTGCTATAGATCAAGAACCCAAAAAATGTTTATGTTCAAGGGCTTTGTAATTTCATTTCTGAAAATTTATATGAAGTAATTGAAACCAGTGAACCAAATTAAAACACAGGGGGCATTGAGTGTGTGTTTAGGAATTTGTCCATTTCTTCTAAGTTGTCCAATTTGTTGGCGTATAATTTTTCATAGTATTCCCTGATAATTGCTTGTATTTCTGAGGGGTTTATTGTAATAAGTCCATTTGCATTCATGATTTTGTCTATTTGAATGCTCTCTCTTTTCTTTTTGGGAAGCCTAGCTAGAGGTTTGTCAATTTTGTTTATTTTTTCAAAAAACCAACTCTTAGTTTCATTGATCTGTTCAACTGTTTCTTTGGTTTCTATATTGTTTATTTCTGCCCTGGTTTTTATTATTTCTCTTCTCCTACTGGGTTTGGGGTGCTCTTATTGCTCTCCCTCAAGTTCTTTTAGGTGCACTGTTAGAATTTGCACTTGCGCTTTTTCTAATTTCTTGAAATAGGCCTGGAGTGTAATGTACTTTCCTCTTAGGACTGCCTTTGCTGCATCCCATAGAGTTTGGATTGTTGTATTTTCATTTTCATTTGTTT